TTATAGGGCTCAGACATGCAGATTCATTTTATTTCTTAGGTAAATAAGAATAAAAATCATATGATAAATTATTCTGTCTTATGATACTATTTCTTTTTAATCTTCCTTTCCTAGTTAGCATATTATTACCAGAGGAAAGGTTGGAAGACCTGTTTGATATGTGCAGACACATTCAGAGCAGGTACTGTGTTGAAATTTGAAATTTGCTTTCTATAATCTTTATTTTCAAGTTGGAGGATTCATTAACTTTTTATCTCTTAGGGGCTTTTGACCAGTTGAAACAGAATGCTACCAAAGCAAGAATTCCATTCTATGGGAGGTAGGTTACTCTTTTTTCTTTTGTTACTCACATGCTTCATCTTGTGTGCTTGTATTTTGTATGTGTTTAGCCTTTTTTTCCCCCTTGTATTGGGAATTAAATTCAGTTTTTTGTGCTTGTTGGGCAAGCACTGTACCACATTGAGTTAACACACCCAGCCCTTTTTTTTCTTTTGCAATGGGCTGGCTAAATTACATAGGCTAACCTCAATTTAGACTCCTCCTGCCTCACCCTTCCAAATGTTGCTAGGATTGCAGGTTTGTGTCACCTTGCCCTATTTAACTTGTTTAATCTAACTTTTCAAAATTTCATGTTATATGGGTACATTTTAACTTCTATTTTTTGGGTATAATCCTGTATGCAGCAAAATAGGAGTATAATGAACATTGTTTATTACATTAACGTGACCTTACTGACCCAGCCTGGTAGATCAAAGCAGACATTGTGTAATTGATGACTTTGCCTATACTTATCCTGTGGGGTATGCTTTCCTACTTCCTTCTACCTCCTTATTCCTGTTTCCTTTAAGACCTGTCTGAAGCATTCCATCACTGAACACAATCAGGGAGCAGAGAATGAAACTCTTTAGAGTGTCACATAAAAACACAAAGTGGAGCCAGCAAGATAGATCAGCGGACTAAGCACCTACTTAGGCAAGTGCAGGGACTTGCCTTCTATCCCTGGCACCACATGCCATGCCGGCCCTGCTCGGGACATGATGAGCCAGCTACCTAGACTGGGTGTGGTGGCGCCTGCCTGTAATCCCAGCACTGGGGAGACTGAAAACAGGAGGATCACTATGAGTCTGAGCTGCGTGGTGAGACCTTGTACCAAATACATAAACAAAAAAAATCACATAGTGTATCACCGTGAAATATTTGCATTTGAGGGCTGGAAACATAGCTCAGTGCATAGCACCTGCTTGGCAAGTGTGTATATATATTTGCATTTGATCATCCTAAAATGATTTGTAATCCCAAATTATCTCAAATTGAGATTTTTGATCATTGCTATCCCTTACTTTGTATATCACCGATTTGTGAAATAGTCTGTATGTGTTGCATTCATTAAATAATTCAAACTAGGTAGAATTTAGAAGGACTTGAGAAACTTCTTATATAGAAGGATTTCCACTTTTTTTTGTATTCTCTTATTTACTCCTTTTCCCTCTTTCTTTCTCTTTCAAACCAGTAAATTCCTATTGAAGTAATGTTTATACTCTTTTTTTGATTTCTACTTTTTGATTGGCCAAAAGCTAGTGAATTCTGATGTTGTGATGCACAGCTGTAATTATAGCACTCTAGGAAGCTGGGTGAGGAAGATTGAAAAATCAAGCCCAGCCTGGGTAATTTAGCAATTTAGATCCTGTCTCAAAATAAAAAAATGAGCTGAGGATGTAGCTCAGTCAGAAGTCCTTGGGTTCTATCTCCAGTATTGTGAGAGAAAGTAAAGTCACATATGGTAACTTTCTTCATTTAAATATTAGATTATTCCTACTTGATTTTGGGTTTTTTTGGTAGTGGAGATACAAGGGGTTGAACCCAAGGCCTTTATACTGAGTGAAGTTGCCCAAGCCGGGCTAAAATTTGTGTTCATTTTGCCTCAGCCTTGTATAGCGTTGTGCCACCATGCCTAGATTGGTTCTTAATATAGAGGAAAAAAGAAAATTTTAATTAGCATCTTTCTGTTGGACAGTTCTCATGTATGTAAAATTTGCTATGAATCAGAAGAATGCAAAGTAAAATGTGACCTCATTTTTTTTATTTTCAAGTTGATGAAGATTTTTGCCAGTGATTATGAAAATGTAATGAGCTGGACATTGTGGCACATGCCTATAATCCTAGCACTCAGGAGGCTGAGGCAGGAGAAACAGTTGTGAATTTCAGACCAGCCTGGGCTACAGAGTGAGCTCAAGGCCAGTCTGAACTGCATAGGTGGACCCTGTTGCCAAAAGGGAAAAAAACAAAAAGAACAAAAGAGATAGACAGATGGATGGCTGGGTATAATGAAAAAGAAACAGGATTAAATTTCTGTGGTGAGTATTTGCCTTTTAAAAACCAAATGCCTGGGCCAGCAAGATAGCCCAGTGGACTAAGTGCCTGTTTCAGCAAGTGCAGGGACCAGGGTTCGATCCCAATCTGCATGCCGCACTGGCCCCACCCCCCCATCCTCCCACCCTCATGCTGTGCCACAATGAGTCCAAGTGTGGTGGTGCATACCTGTTATCCCAGCACAGGGTGGGGTGGGGGGTCTGAAAACAAGAGGATTGGTGTAAGTCCCAGCTGCATACTGAGACCGTGTACCAAATTCATAAATAAAAACCAAAGGCCTATGTGATCATGTCATTGACCCATATATAACTTGTAAGAAATAAGATTTATTACTTGGGGAGATTGCTCAGCAGTCTTAAGTGCCTGCCATGCAAGCACACAGACCCAAGTTCAATCACCGGTACCGCATGCATACCACCCCAGAACCCTAGGCCTGTTGCGTGGGCCACTGAAATCTGGTGTGTGATGCATGCCTATAATCCCAGCACTGGGGAGGCTGAAACAGCAGTATTACTACCTGAGCTGTGTAGTGAGACCCTGTACCAAATAAATAAGAGGGTTTTTTTTTTTTTTTTTCTGTATCAGGGTTTGAACTCAGGACCCAGTGCTTGCCAGGCAAGCACTTATTCTACTGAGCTATCTCCCCGGCCCCTAAAAGATTTTTGAAAAAAAAATTTAAAAATGAGATTCATATACTATTCATGTTGGCCATATTTTTGAATACCAAGAAATTGGAATACCTTTAACATTCAGCAGTATGCATTATTTAGTAAGTATTGCATAGCCATCTGATGGCATGCTGTACAATTTAAAAGTTAACTTTAAAAAAAATTGTTTTTGCTTTTTTGAGAAAAAGTATCACTGTGTAGTTTAGGCTGACCTTGCGCTTACTGCAATCCTACTATAACAATAAAAGTTACATTTTGTAAGAATACTCAATGGTTTAATAAAGTAGTTACAAAAGAGTGTTAAATAGAAAAGCAAATATGAAATACTTTGTAGAGAGGGAGTGTGTAGATTAGTGATAGCCAGGCCTGGACAAGGCTTGGGGTTTGATCTCCAGTACTATGTAAACAAACAGTGCTTTGTAACATGAGTTCAATTATTAAAGAAGACATAAAAAGTAACTTTAAGAAAGCAACTTAGTCAGAGAAGGCATACTACAGAATCTTACAGACTTTAGTAGTTGGAGAGGTGGATAATACATCATGCTGTTCTAAAAGTCGATTTCTGTATTTAGTACTTATGATACATTTTATTCTAAATTATAATTGATCATTTGGACTTTGAGAGTAAAGATGTAGGGTGATAATTTCCACGTTAATATATTTGGGAGTTTTACTATTATGGTTGGTAAATCATTTGTCCGTGTTATATAGCTATACAGAAATGGATCCTGTTATCATTGCTTCTGAAGGAGTAGAGAAATTCAAAAATGAAAATTTTGAAATTATTATTGTTGATACAAGTGGTCGCCACAAACAGGAAGACTCTTTGTTTGAAGAAATGCTTCAAGTTGCTAATGCTATAGTAAGTAGCTTTCCATGGAATAGCATCGTAATGATTTTAGTTAATTTAACTATAAACTCTGATTGATTTTACAGTCAGTATAAATTACTTTTTGAGGGGTTGGGAAAATGGCTCTGTAGAATAAGCGCTTCCCTGGCAAGCACGAGGGCTGGAGTTCAATCCCTGGCTCCGCAAAAAAAAAAAATAAATAAATAAATAAATAAAATAAAATAAATAAATAACTTTTTGCCTATAAGGCAGAGTATAATTATTTTGTTTCTGTTTTGTGCACCTGTATCTCTGTGATAAGGACTTAATCTCATCATTTTGGGCTCCAAATAGAAAAAAAATAGCAAAAATGTGACAAGAATTAGCGTTAATATCTGTTGAATTTCCTTTCTATAAGTTATTGAATTCAATTGGAAACAAGTGAAATTTAAAGTTTTTCCAAAATGAAGCACTTAAGCATACTGATCATTATTTAGTGTCTCTTTAAACTTGATGAAAGTGACATGGTGAGTAGCAGAGGTTTATAGATAGCCTGTGGCATGTATGAGGAAGTGAGGTGTCGCATTGGGATGATGGTAGTGATTCTTCGAGTAGTGGCTAGTGCTAATAAGATTCTTTCTTATTTATGCAGTTATTTTGACCAAGGTAAACAGATCTAAGGGAAGTACCTCAGCCTGTTTTACTAGTTTGGGCACTACTTTGTTCTGTTCTTGCCATTCCTCTGCCCAGAATGCTGTTCTTCTACATCCTTGCGTTACTTTTTATTCTTTATTCAAATCTCAGCTGAAGCATTGCCTCTCACCTCCAACAAGCATTTCCCTGAGTGTCCTGCTGAAAGACGCCTCTTATGTCTTACCTGCCATGTATCATGAAGACAAGGATTTTCTTTCTAGTTCATATTTGCAGTGCTAGAAGGACAAAGATTTTCTTACTTATTTGTCCTTGGGACCTATGTACTTAGTTCATAGTACTCCCTCAAATATTTATTGATTGAACATTTATAGTAATTTTTCCATAGCTTCTAATGATGAAATTTGTTAAAATCAGTAAAAATATGTATCCTTTTCTGTTTAAACTTTCTAGCAACCTGATAACATTGTTTATGTGATGGACGCCTCCATCGGGCAGGCTTGTGAAGCCCAGGCTAAGGCTTTTAAAGATAAAGTAGATGTAGCCTCAGTAATCGTGACAAAACTTGATGGCCATGCAAAAGGAGGTGGTGCTCTCAGTGCGTAAGTATCACTGGTGTTACTGCCCTCTCTGTTGGGATTATAGGATGTGTATCCAGTTATATGTGTCTGTTTGTGTTTCTTTTTTATCTTTTAAAATATATTCCAGTAATTGACTTAATATGGCTTATAAAGGAAGATTAAGTAGAATTTTAGAGCCTCGTGGTAGTTTTGTTTTAATTATAGTGAAAATAAATTTGAGTTTTATACCTTTGTCTGTTTAGCTTTGAAGATCTGCTAGAACTTTGTTTTCTTTTTCTGTGCAGAGTTGCTGCCACAAAAAGTCCAATTATTTTCATTGGTACAGGAGAACATATAGATGACTTTGAACCTTTCAAAACACAGCCTTTCATCAGCAAACTTCTTGGTATGTACATTGGTGGAAATATAGTCTCTGCGAAAGTTTTTAGAATGTTTAGGATTTTAATCTTGTCCACTAGCTAGTTAAAAAATCCATTTCTTTCTATGGCTTATCTTCCTCACTTGTGAAACAGGGCTGATACTTATCTGTTTTCTGTGGTGCAGTTTATGAGGTATCAGTAAGATGCATGTTCTTTGGAACAAAAGCTTTAGAGTATAGTAAAACAAAATAGATGCAGTAATAGAAGTGGTAATGACATTAACGTTCTTGTAATGTCTTAAGGTGGTGTAGTTAGCAGAAAATTTGGAGTGAAGCCCTGCACTGGAGGCCCTGCCTTGTTTCCTCCTTGCTACTATTTAATCTCTAGGTTCAGTATCCTCACCTGTAAAATGCCTGCCTTGCAATGCTGCTACATATGTGACTGTGTTTTATATTTGATAAAGCTGATCACTGTTGTTCACTTCTCTTTTTGGGGTCTTACAGGTATGGGTGACATTGAGGGACTGATCGATAAAGTCAATGAGTTGAAGTTGGATGACAATGAAGCTCTTATAGAGAAGCTGAAGCATGGTATGACAGGCATAAAGCATTTGATCTCTGAGGTCTTTCCGTCATTTTTTTCTGATAAAGCTACTATTTATTCAAGCAATAATGTGTATTATTAGTTAGCTCTTAAAATGATACTGTTTTAGATGATTTGCATTTAAATAATTTTTTCAGCAATCTTTTTTCTTTTTCTTTTTTGTATTTTAGGGAAGGGTCTACAGGGTGTTCAGGGTCTGACTACTAGATCAGACTCGGAGTGATCTGCCTGTTTATAGCCTCCGAAGAGCTGGGATACAGGCGTGCACCACCACACCCAGTCTCAATTGCCTTCTCAGTGCACCACAGGGGCGGGGCCAACACAGCAGGCTCGGGGATCAAACCCCCAGCCCCTGAGCCTGCTTGCAGGTGCTTTAATCCACTGAGCTAAGCTATTTGGCTGGCCCTAAGCAATTGTAACAGTTACAGAATTGTTTTCATTTTCTTGTTATCATATTGCCATAAGGTTAAAATTGAGGCTTTTTTTTTTTTTTTTTTGGTTCCTTAAAGAAAAACAGATGAAAAATGAGTTAGAATACTTTTAATCTGTTTTGTTAAAGATGGTATGTATTATATTTGTGTATGTAGATTGTGTTTGTATGTAAAAATATTTTTAAGAATAAAAGTTGGTGAGTTCAATCTCTGGTTCCACCAAGAAAATAAATAAATAAACAAAAAATAAAATTAGGGCCAGGGAGATAGCCCAGTAGAATAAACACTTGCCTAGCAAGCACAAGGTCCTGAGTTCAATCTCCAGTACTGCCAAAAAAAAAGAATAAAATTAAATGGACACATTTTTTCACTCCACAGGGAAGATCACTCCTATAGAGACATATGTCACTGTGATTAAGAGATCAGTTTCTTTAGTCCAGTATACTTCAGTTTGTATCTCTGATCTATTTTTTAGCTATGTAACCTTTTCTAACTACTTAGCCTTGATTTTTTCATTGTAAAAATAGATAACACTGTTTGGTATGATTGTGAAGATTACATTAGCTGATGTATATGAAATGTCCAGCACATTGTAAGCCTTCAACTTATGTTATTATTGGCCATTCCAGCTTCTCCCAAAGTGATCTTTTCCCTTAACTCTAGTGGCTCAGTACTATTCTGCCACTTTGTTCCTTCTCGCACTCCCTCCCACATACTTGCACCTCTTGAGTGCTGCCCTTCCCCTACCAGATATCATCCTAGGCCATGTTTTTCTTGAATTTCCTATTTGTGTGTTTACTAGATCATCTTTGAATGTTGCATAGAAACATTCCCCAGTCCACTAGTTCTCAGTGTCTCTGCCCCATCCCCTTCTTTCTGGCTACCAACACCTATGATAGTTTCCATCTTACTGTAATAACTTTCAATCTTTTCATACATTTTCCAGCTTCCTAAACTCTTTTCCTCTTTTTTGTTTTTAATACTGCAACAAAAAAGATCTTTCAGAAATACAGATTGGATCCTGTTGCTGCCCCTCATAAAATCCTTCAGTGGCTTTCTCTTGTCCTTAGAATATTTTGAAATGATTCTACTATCTAGCCCATATCATCCATGTCAGGTTTTGGCACTGTTGTGCTTAGCAGGGTATGTGTCAGGCATGCTAAACTTCTTTCAGTTTCTTAAATGTACAGTTGCTGTCCCAGACGAGGCCATTTTTTTTTGACTAGTCACTGCGTCACCTGCTAGTGTGGGCTCTTAGCTACACATAAGATGGAAATCATACATGGGCCAGTTTCAAGGCTAAAAAGTGTTCACTGGGTGTGGTGACACATACCTGTAATCTCAGCATTTGAGAAGTTGAGGCAGAAAGATTGCTGCAAGTTCAAGGACAACCTAGGCTACAAAGTGAATTCAAGGCCAATCTGAACTACATAGCCAGACTTTGTCTCAAAACAACAAAACAGACAAAATTTCCTTGTGGGAAGAAACAAACAGCAGAGGTGACTGTTCTGTTGGCAGTTGTTCCACAGAGTTGTACAGCCCAAAGGAAGCATTTTACTTGGAATGTCCTTAGTTACTTGTGGATTAAAAAAGAGTGAGAGAGAGAGAGACAGACAGACAGACATTTCTGGAGAGGGTCTTAAGTTTGTTGCTGCATCCTGATCACTTATCTTGGGGATTGTGTGGTGTGCTCATTTAATAAACCATTTGCACTTCTTTTTAAAGGAGTGTGGGAGTTCACCTCTATGTTAACCTCTGGCATTCTCTCTCCTTCATCACCCAGAAGGGCAGCTGCCTGCTTGTTTCCTGTCAGGCAGCTGCTCTGAGTGCTGTTAGCTCCCGTGATGCTTGCTGATGCCTTCACTCCTCCTGTACCTGCCTCCACTGTGCCCCGCCATGCTGGCTCGCTCCTTGCATGGCCTTGGTCAAGGATAATGTACTTGATATTTTATTTAGTAAGTTAGAACTTACTGATTTGTTTCCATTATACGCTATAATTAATTGTATTATTTATCATAGTTATTTGATATTGTCTTCCCAGCTTGAAAGCCAAATATAGCTGTGTTCCTCTTTTATGTTCATGATACCTAGCTCAATGTCTGGCACATAATAAGTCTTCAGTAAATAGTGAGGCAATGAATTTATCCTTCATCGCCTGATTCTTTCCCCTTTCTTCCTCTTATTTTGAGACCTCTAACATGGCTTCTAGTACGATGTCCAGGTTGTGTGGTATGAAGCCTGTGTCTTTTCTGGCACTTGGCTCTCTCTGTATGCCTCAGCATTTTTATTTTTGCTCTTAATACAGAACTCATTTATGAGGTTGCCAAGGTCCATCTAATCCTCAAATGTAGTTACTTTTTCATATTCCTTATATTTGTATGTTAACTGCTGTTTTTCTCCCTGCTCCCGCCTTCCTCTCTTTTTCCCCTCCCTCTCTCTGTCCCCCTTCCCTAGATCAAATAAGGGCTTTGAGCATGTTAGACAAATGTCCTAGCACTCAGGTACACCCCTTATCCATAGGACTTCCTCCCTTTCTAAATTTTATTTTGTGTTGGTATCTCACTAAATTGTCCAGGCTGGACTAGAATTTGTGATAGATATGCCTGCCTTGATTCAGGAATGTAGAATTATAGGTGTTAAGCTCTATCCCCTGATGTCTTTTCTATTTTTAAACTTTATTTTAGGGCTCAGTGGCAGAGTATTTGTCCTACATTCACATGACACTTGGGTTAACCTTCAGTATCAGTCAATCAAACATAAATTACACACACACACACACACACACACACATATCTTATTTAGATAATGAAATAAACTTTTTCACTTGAATTCTATGATGGTGGATTATCATAGTTCTGGACGGAGCCAGCCAGATAGCTCAGCAGATTAAAGCACCTGCTTAGGCAGGTGCAGAGACCGGGGTTCAATTCCTGGCATGTGGTGCCAACCCCATCCCCCAGGGCACAATGAGACGGTGAATGAGACTCAGCATGGTAGCATGCACCTGTAATTCCAGCACTTGGGAGGCCGAAAACAGGAGAATCACTATGAGTCCAATCTATGTAGTGAGACCCTATAGACCCTGTATGAAATACATAAAAACAAAACATAATTCTGGACTTCTGTGATCCCTTTATATAATAGTCAAATATGTATTTTAGTTTTAACACTGTCTTCCTTTTGGACAATATGAGTAATTCAGCCTAGGACCTTCACTCTGAGCTATGTCTCCAGACCTTTTTTAAAATTTTGAGACCAGGTCTTGCTAGTTGCTAAGTTGCCCAGCTTGGGTTTGAACTTCTGATCCTCCTGCCTGGACTCTCATAGTGCTGGGATTATAGGTATGGGCCACTATTCCTAGCTTCTTTTTAATTCTATATCTTCATCTGCCTGCTACATTTTTTAAAAAATATTATTCTGTTGTTTCAAATCCAAAAAACCTGAAACCAGTATCTTTTCTAAAAAATCTTTAAGAAATAGAGAATAGTCTTTATTCTTTGCTTTGTTCCTTTTCTCTTTCTCTTTTTAAAATTGAAGTTAAACTGGGCATGGTTGCACTTGGGAGTCTAAGACAGGAGGGTTTGTGAGTTCGTCTAGCCTAGTCTACATAGTGAGCTCAAGGCAGTTTGAACTACATAGTGAGACTCTATCTCAAAGAAAAAAAAAATGGTAAACAAAATGGAAGTTAATTTACGTGTAGTAAAATACCAAAATCCTAAGGAAATTTGTCCTTTTCTTTTTTTTAAATACATAGTAACCTACACCCCATTAAGTAACAGAACATTTTGTTTACTCTAGAAAGTTTGCTTGTTCCCCAGCCCAGTACTACTTCATGTTCTAGAAATTCTAGAATATGTCCCCCTCTATTCCAATTTGTATTTTTTGATTCAGCATAACTTGTTTTGAAACAGGGTCTTGATGTATAGTCCAGGCCAGCCTTGAACTTACTAAGTAGCCCATGTGCCTGAACTTGAATCCTGCCTCAGCTTTCCAAGTGCTAGGATTACAAGAGGGCACAATCAGGCCCAGTGCATAGTTTTCTGATAGTCACTGATATAGTTGCAATGTGACTATACTTTTTTCTTTTTGTTGTGGTGTACTCTTTCACCCACCAGCTATCATTTTCTGTTAGGAATGTCTAACCTATTTAAGAAACTTCAGATGATACTCTGAAATGGTTTTGCTGTTTTATATTTTCACCAACAGTATATGGGAGCTGTATTTGTTCTGTATCCTCTTTAGTCATCCTAGTAGGTAGTGTGCCTTGTTTTCAAGTTTCCTGTGTATTTGTATGTGTCTTCTCTGATAGGGTGTAGGTTGATCTGAGACAGGATCTATGTGCCTTTGCCTTCCCTGCAGCTGTCATCAGACGCGTAGTAACAACTGCTTGGTGAATACTTACTCATGGGAATATATACTCATGGGTATGCTTCAAAATGAATTCATGATAAGCAGAAACTTAGTACTGTTGAAAGGAAATGTGTATTTTCTAATGTGCCTAACTCATTTATATTGTGTTGCAGGTCAGTTTACATTGAGAGACATGTATGAGCAATTTCAAAATATCATGAAAATGGGCCCCTTCAGTCAAATCTTGGTTAGTTATATTTAAAAATTACTTTATACTTTCTTATTTATGTATTTATTAAGATTTCTAAGAACAGATACACTTACTTTAATTATTTGGGTAAAAATAGAACTTTTAACAATTAGTGTCAGTAATGCCAGTATTAATTGGGGGCATTTAAACAATTAATCTTCATCAATTAATGACTTTGTTTAAATTTGTGTTAGGGAATGATCCCTGGCTTTGGAACAGATTTTATGAGCAAAGGAAATGAACAGGAGTCAATGGCAAGACTAAAGAAATTAATGACCATAATGGATAGTATGAATGACCAAGGTAAGGTGGCAGATCACTTGGTTCAGGGGCAGTGTTATAAATATCAGCAAATTGACATTTCTCTATTTTATTGACAAGAAGGGAGAAATTTAGACAGAAGAGATTTTCAGGTAGATTTATAATAACTCTTAATTCTGTAATCATGAACTGGGAAATTTAGGCTAAAGAGATTTTTAGGTAGATTTATAGTAACTCTTAATTCTATAATCATGAACCTTTGAGTAAGAACTTTGAAGTTACTCTAAACCAGTACCTATCTAGAAGACATAGTGGCTTTCAAATATCTGAAAGCCTCATTTTTTTTTTTTTTTTTTTTTTATGCCTGAAAGGACACATATACACAAATCAAAGTAGAAGTACCACACTAACACTTTTCAGCTTAGTATGTGAAAAGAATTTCTTTTTTTTTCAATATAGATTTTTTTGGTACTAGGAATCAAAATCAGGATCTTATACTTGCTAGGCAGGTCCTGTGCCACTGAGCTGTATCCCTGGCCCCTGTGAAGAGAATTTCTGATACAACAAAACAGCAAAGATTATTTTATTTTGCACAGTGGGTCATCTCTCCTGAAGGTATTAGACTGGGATTAGCTAACCACGTATTGGGGATGTTATATACTAGAGAGAATACAGACAAAATACACATTTTGACTGAAAACCATCCTGTTCTGAGATTGTATGCAATGAAAGCCAAAAGAACTATGTCTCATATACTGAGTGATCAAAAAACTACAGGGAATTAACTGGTGGTTTTGTTATAGTTGTGGTTTTGAAACAAAGCCTTGCTGTATAGCTCAGGCTGGCATCAGGTTTCTAGTCCTCCTGCCTTATCATCCTGAATGTTGGGATTATAGAAATTTACCACCAGATTAGACCATTTTTGTGTGTGTGTGTGTGTGTGTGTGTGTGTGTGTGTGTGTGTGTGTGTATGATACTGGTATTACATTTTGGTCCTTCCCTCTGGGCTACATCCCTATCCCTCTATTTATTTATTTATTTATTTATTTATTTATTTAAAATTTTGGAACAGGATCTCAAGTTGCTGTGTTGCTCAGCTGGGCGTAAATGTGTGATCCTCCTGCCTTAGCCTCCCAGAGTGCTGAGATTACAGGAATATGCCACATGCCTGCCTTTTATGAATAAAATACTACTAGTAGTAATTATTTAATGTTAGGAAATGTAATTTTTCTGTGTGTGTTTTTTTAAAGACTCAAAAGGGACTGGGGAGATGGCTCAGTGGAATAAGTGCTTCCCTGGCAAGTGCATGGGTCTGAGTTCAATCCCCAGTTCTGCCAAAAAAAAAAAAAAAGACTCAAAATTATGCCACAGTTTAAAAATGGCCTTTTCGTTGTTTTGTTTTCATAGTAGGAATCAAACTCAGGACCTTGTGCTTGCCAGTCAGGTGCTCTGCCACTGAGCTATATCCCTGGCTAATTTTTCTGTTTTTAAAGGTGGGAAACTTCCCCGATTGTTTATGTAGACTAAATTATGCACTAAAGATTAGTAGTTAACTTAGGATAGAATTAAAGTGAGCAGCTCTATTCTTTTTTGAAATATACTATGTACTTCTGATATGTGGAGGGCATGGAAAGGGTACAATTTGAAATATAGAAATGGTGGATGGGGGTTCAAAAGTTTTCAAAATGCTCTATTTTCTTTAAACTGTAGGTAAGGTATATGTGCATTTATTGTATTTTTTTTTTTTAATTTTATTTATTTATGTGTGTGTGTGTGGCCAGCTCAGCCCACCAGGGAGCGGGGCTGGCTGGCATGTGGTGCTGGGGGATTGAACCGCGGTCCCTGTGCTTTGTTAAGTTTGTTCTAAGTAGGTGCTTTAGACCACTGAGCCATCTCACCAGTCCTGTATTTTTTTATAGTTCATGAATACTAAAATATTCTTTTGAATACATTACATGTTTAATATTTAAAAACCAGAAGCAAATATTGCAAGTGATAAAATGTTAAATCTGCATGGTGGTTTGACCATTTGTTGTATCTTTTTCTGTGTGTAAGAAATAGCTGTTAAGCTCTATGAAGTAATGTATTACCTATTTGCACATAACTGCTTTGATGATGACTAATAATTGCAAGTGAATGTAACTGCCTCCTCACCCTCAGAGCTGGACAGCACAGATGGTGCCAAGGTTTTCAGTAAGCAGCCGGGAAGAATTCAGAGAGTAGCCCGAGGGTCAGGTGTGTCAACGAGAGATGTTCAAGAACTTCTCACGCAGTACACCAAGTTTGCACAGATGGTAAAAAAGATGGGAGGCATCAAAGGGCTTTTCAAAGGTAAGACAGATAAGCTCATCCTTGATTAACAAAATGAAAAGATAGAAATTCAGAAACTAAAAATTAATCTGAAGGAGTACTGCCAGTACTAGAAAACCCACTACTGAAATTCGTGTTATAGGCAAATGCTATTGGGACTTATAATGTGTTTTGTAATGTAAATTTTCAAATTCATGATATTGAAAACAATGATTTTATGAATAGGTAATACATATTGTAGAAAATTTAGAGAATGTAAGAAAGTATGAGAAAAAGTTAGAATTTTATTCTCGGAGAATCCTGCGGACCCTGTTTAATAGCTAATACATCTGTAGCTTTCTTCCAGTAACTCATGATTACTTTGACATACTGCTAGTAGTGCAGTTATCTGTCTGTCTTTGTCTCATGTGATGCCTCTTGTTGGACAATGGCAGTGATTCATCCAGTTTCTAGGCAGTTCCATGAAGCCAGTGATTTTTGTCTGTTTTAATTAGAAACAGTTGATGCTGACTAAATTTTCTAATTCTAAGTTAATGGTCAAATGTTTTATTTATTTATTTATTTTCTTGGCAAAATCTTTTATTAGACAGTAGACAAAGTAAATGTTGTCATTGAGGGTCTTGATTGTTTTTATCTTCCTTCAAACAAGATTAAGCTTTGTTTTGAAAAAGAACATGTTTAAAAGAACATGTTTTTTTTTTTTTCCTTGAGTTTTTTCTTATTGGTACATTTTATATATTCATAGTGATAGCATTCATCATAGGGGAATTGTACCTTGCTTCAAACAATAGTTTCAAGCATTTTTTTTTAAAGATTTAAAATTTCTTTATTTAGTTCAACTTATAATACCACATTTCCAAGAAAAATGAACCTTTTGCAAAGACATTTAAATAAAATCATACCAAGATGCACAAAAATGAAATTGTCCAAAACTTCTTGTAAAGAAAAAAATCATTAAAGCATATACATAAAAATATTAGCTATGAAAGAACAAA